GGCAGGCATCCCCACAGTGAGTCGCTTGAGGTCGCAGCGGGTCCCGAGAGGCGATTCCATTCTCGTTCCCAAGACGCGTGCCCGAACCCTTGCCGCAGCTCCTTCGCAGCTCTCTCGAAGCTCCTTCGAGGCTTGCTTCTCGAAGCTGGCCAGCTCCCCAGGCACGCTTTCCGGCGACCTGGCAAGCGTCTCTTCAAGCTTTGCCAGCTCCCCAAGCACGCTGTTCTGGGATAGCTCCTTGGAGAGCTAAGAGGCTTCCAGATAAGAAGCCGGCAAGGCAAGGTAGACCAGCCCATCTCCAAGGCTCCCAGGCAGGCATCCCCGCAGTGAGTCGCTTGAGGTCGCAGCGTGTCCCGCGAAGCGTTTTCCTTCTCGTTCCCAATACGCGTGCCTGAAACCTTTCCGCAGTTCCTTCGAAGCTCTTTCAAAGATCGCTTGTCGAAGCTTGCAAGATCTCCAGGCTTTCTTTCCAGCGCCCTGGCATGCGTCTCCCACTAGTTGTTGTTCCAAGCTTGCAGGCTCCCCAGGCATGCTTTCCAGCACCCTTGTCAGCGCCCCCCGTAAGCGTTTTACGCGCTTTGGACTACGTCGCCATCCGGGTTTGGGACTGCACACGTGTATCTGCCGACGTCTATTCCGCGACTCTCGCGCTCGTGCGCCCACAGGTGCCTTGAGGAGGAACGACAAGGAGGACTGGCTCATGAGGGGGCCGAGCATCGACGTGGAATCGGAGGCACATCGCCAATGGATCGGCGGTTGGCCCCCGATCGTGAGACCTCGCGTTTCTGCGCGGGGTTGGCTGTCAAACCCCTATCGGCGATCGGTGGGCGATGAAGGGTCCGGGGCGGCCCGATGTTCTCCGCTCTGAGCCCCCCCCAACGCTGCCCCTGACTCTTGCGCCCGCCGACAGGTGCCAGCCGCAGCGCCGCCCGAGCGGCGGCGCACTTTCTTACCGTCCAGCAAAGCCCAGCGGACAACGGAACACAGAGGAGGAGGACAAGGACGACGAGGAGGACGAGGAGGACGAGGGGTAGGAGGAGGAGGAGGAGGAGGAGGAGGAGGAGGAGGAGGAGGGGAAGGACGAAAGGGACACCGGAAAATGAGATGTGGATGGGGGAACGGTTGACTAAGGCGGATGCAATCAAGCGGAATGTGCAATCTGAGGCGCGTGTAAGGTGGGCGGCTGGTCGATCCGTGAGGGAGATCGGCCTAATCTCGTGCGAACCGCTGATCCCACAGCGGCTCTCGCCAAGGTCCCCGCCTCCCTTTGCTCGTAGTCGTTCTCTCCCAGTCCCTCGCCTCGACATCGGCGTCTCAGGGCTGGGTTCCGCGGTGGCTGTGCTGTCTCCGTCGTCGAGGCAGGTCGAGACCACCTGCGCTGTGTTTCCTTTCTCTGGCGGCGGGCTAAGGGTCGATCCGTGCGGTCGACCGCATCTCGAGCGACCCGCTGATCCCAATGGCTCTCGCCGACGCCCCACCGCCCTTTCGCGTGGCGTTCCGCGTCTTTGTGAACGCAGTGACGAAAGTGGCCCCGATCAAAGGGGAGTGCACCATCTGCCTCTGCACCTTGGCGGCGGCGGACAGGCTCTGTCCGCCGCCAGGCCTTAGCCCAGAAGGAGGAGGAGGAAGGAGGAGGAGGAGGAGGAGGAGGAGGAGGAGGGAGGAGGAGGGAGGAGGAGGGAGGAGGAAGCGGAGGATGAGGAGGAGGAAGAGGAGGAGAGGAGGAGGAGGAAGGAGGAGGAGGAAGAGACGCGCGTCATGCCCTCCGACGACGGCCCGCCGGCTGCGAGGATGGCGTCCGCCGTTCCGAGGCACTGCAGGGCGAGGAGTACCAGCCGTTGAAGGCTGGGGCAACACAGGAGGAGAAAGACGAGTCCTACAATAACGTGAAGAGCAAGCCCGCGACCGCGCAGCAGCAGTACAAGCTGCAGTGGGCGATGGAAGAGGACACCAGCAACACCGTGCATCTCATCGGAGTGCATCGCAGGACGACGATCGCCGAGAAATCCGTGTTCGAGCAGTTGGCACGGGTCGACGCATCGATCAAAAAAAGCCGCAAGACCATCGATCACATCCACCAGGAGGCAGACGACGCACAGAAAACAGCAAACAAGAAGTACGCCAAGCTCAGGACCTCGGGGGAGCACCTCAAGGCATTAATGAAGAGCAAAGGAGGAGCTGCAGATCATGGGCGCTGCGATAGAGGCCGAGGAGAAGGAGCGAAGAGAGGCAGAGGAAACCATGGACAACATGGACGGAGGAACCGAGCACGATGGCTACACGCAGGCGTGGCCGCATGTTCCGCCTACAGTCGGACTTGATTGGACAGGACGCGCGAGGGGACACATTGCCATAGGAATGTCGGAGGCATGAATCGCGAGGCACAAGGCACAAGGGTACCCTTGATTTGGCAGGGTCGACCCTCTAATCCGGCTCGACTGTGCATCATCGCCCAGGACACCACCACCGGCAGGAACGCAAGGACCTCGAGCAGGGCTTGGCACTCAGAGGGGACGACCATCCACGGCACCGTCGGCGACGCCAACGGGCACTGGCAGCTCGACGGCCAAGGAGGAGGTGAGCAGCCTGATCGAACAATCTCAGAAGCCGCTGATCGAGAACATGGTCGGGATGCAGCAGATGCAGGGAAGCGAGCTCTATACACCGACGCGGTCTCTGGCCCCGCACGTAAAAGGGGATCCCGGTGTATACGAGATGTTGGTGTATACATGTTTCGCTGCTTCCCCAGGAAAACGGAGGACAGAGTATGCACCACACCACCCCGACGTCGCCCCCGACCCTCAAGAAGTCCTGGGATTGACAAACAGGCCCGCCACTGGTAATGTACACGCTCCAGTTTCTGAAGATGATCCACCAGATGTGCACGTTCATGGTCCAGCAGCAGGCTGCCGCCGCCGCCGCCTCAGGGCGTGCGGCCGCTGCCGGCCAGCCCTGGGATGGAACAGCGGCTGCCCGGGCGGAGGGGCCCCCCGCCGCTGCGGGCCCGCAGGAGCCTGCGGCGGAGGGGCCGACGCCGCACGGGCCGCCCAAGGTGGAGACCCAGGCTTCGGAGCACAAGGACTGCGCCACCACCGAGCCTGCGGAGTCCCCGCAACCGAGCTCGACGCCTACGAAGATCCCTACGTCGCAGCAGCCCAGCCCGAGCGTCGCCCAGAGGGTCCAGGAGTTCACCCGGCGCAGTGCCGAGCGAGGCGGCAACCCGTGCGAGACGCCGCAGAAAGCTGGGCGCCGAGCGGGGTCAGCCGGCACGATCCGATCGTCACCTGCAGGCGCGTCGCCCGCTTTGGGAGGAGCGAGGTCGAGGTCGCCGACACCCGTGGCGGAGAGGGACCGCAAGACGGCGAGGACGGCATCAGCTGGGCCGAGCGGGCGCGGCAAGTCTGGCAAGGGCGGGGCGCTTTTCCAGCCCACGAGGCCTTTCCGCACGGGAAGGAAGTAGCAGAGCCGCATGGCGGCTCGAGTACGCCTGCCTGTACCTCAGACGCAGGCCGCCATGTACATTGGCAGCCAGTTAGTGCATTGTTTGACAGCGGGGGAGTCAGGCACCCAGGACCAGATCTCGAGCATGCAGTTCCAATTGGCCGATTGGTTGGACAGCGGCTCTGGAGCCGAGGCCAGACAGAGCACAGGCTCGCCAGTTCCAGTCTCGCTATGAAGCGCTCTTCGGCGGCGTAGCTCAGGACCAGCCCGAGGATGAGGAGGAGGATGAGGATGAGGATGAGGATGAGGAGGAGGAGGAGGAGGAGGGAGCAGGAGGAGGAGGGAGGAGGAGGAGGAGGAGGAGGAGGAGGAGGCGTGGCTCAGGACCAGCCCGAGCGCGAAGGCGCCTGACAGGGGAGGTCGGGGCCCACTGCCCTGCGCGGACCTGCCCCGAGGTCCTGGAGGACCTGGTCTCTTGCCGTGCTGGAGAATCCGCGGGGCTGGTCCAGTCTCTTCAGGAAACTATGGGGAAAACAAACCTACCTCGCTTTTGACCACCCTCGCTTCCAAGAGATACCAAACGATGCCAAACTACGGCCTGCACTGGTCAGGTCGCTTGACGAGGAGGCGCGTAATATGACTTGTTTTTTCCTGGAAGCGAACGCGGGGTAGGTAATTCACGCTCTGGCTGATCCAGTCTCTTCAGGAAAAAGGCGTTCGTTTTTTTTCCTGGATTTTCTTTAATTTTGAAGTGCACCTGTGTCTGAACCAACACTATAAAAACAGAGGAAAACCATTTCAAGATCAAAGAAATGGACGATGTACAAATGTAAAGAATTCTTACACAGTTAAAGGTGCGCAAAAAAAGTTGTTTCTGTTTTCGTGTGGAAGAATTTAAAGAAAAGTATGTTTTGTACAAACCACCTCGCCCGATCGTCAACTAGATGTTGGCATGCATCCAGCAGCAGAGTGTGCACTCGAGTCGTGCCCATGGGTGTGCAAGAAAAAAGTCAGGGGTAGATTGTACACATACGCGGACGCACCAACGGAAGCTTCGAACCCAGAGGAAGCTAGCTGGGCCGCTGTCGCGGCTTGTCTGCAATGAACGGAGTATCTCATTTCAGGGAGCCATCCAAAGTAGAGTTCGGGGATCACTGGCGTTCGATCCCGTGCTGAAGCCTCATGACAGAACAACGCCAGAGACTGTTGCCATTGTTTGGGCCATGGTCTGGGCAGGGCTGTGTGATTCTGAAGAGGTAGTGATTGTTGGAGATTCCCAGAATGCTCTCAACATCATGAGTGGGGAGGACCTCTCTCACACTAACCCCGAGCTAGGAAGTCTAGCTCACCAACTTTTTCTAGAACTTAGGCGCTCCAGCTTAGTGGGGTCTGAGCACGTTGCCTCGGACGATTGCATGCCATGGAACGAGCTAGCAGACTCCATAGCCAAGGCCGCCTGTTTAGGTCTCGTCGTGGGTCAACCAGTTCCAAGAGAGGCCATTGAAGAGCTCAAGTTTCGAAGGGGAAGGGACTGGAGCTGGCTTCACCATGCCGACGAGGCGACCAGGCGGGCACATCCCGACCTGATCGGGGACAATGGTCTTTTTGCTCGCACCCGGCAGCAGGCCATTGCCGGCCAGCTCGGAGAGCAGGGGATTGCTCAAGGGGAGGGGAACAGCAGCGTTCAGCAGAGTGGAGTGAAGGGGCACGGTCATGGAGGCAAGTTGCAGTACCAGCTGCGCATTGCTACATGCAATGCCTCTTCCATGCTTGAGAACACTGCGTTCCGCCAGAGCCGTGCTCAGCACCTTAGGCTGCAGATGCAGCACAATGGGGTGTCGATCCTCGGGGTCCAGGGAGCTAGAATCAAAGCGGGACGCGCGAAAAAGGACGACTACTGCGTCGTTTCTTCTGGGGCTTCGGGAGGCAACTTAGGGTTCGAGCTTTGGCTCTCGAAGGGCCGTCCGTATGCCACTAGGGACGGTCACTAGTTCTGTTTCCAGCTGGGCCACACGCAGGCAGTGCATGCCACCACCAGAATCCTGGTCGTCCGCGTCAGCGCACCTCACATTGACATCACTGTCGGGGTATGGCACTCCCCCCATTCAGCGGCCACTGAGCAGATCAGGGCCGATTGGTGGAAGGAGTTGCGTGAGGTCGCTAACGAGTGGCGCCCAGACTTCTGGTGTGCGGACGCAAATGGCCGCCTAGGATCAGGAAAGTCCGGCTCGGTCGGGTGCGACTGTTGGACGCAAGGAGAAGATTCTAACGGTAGCGAGCTCCACGGTTTTACAGGTTCGGGGGAACTCGTTGTCGTCAATACATTCGGTGACGGAGCCGGTGCAGGCTTCACTTGAGGAAGTGCCCCTGGGTACCAACACCGTATCGATTATGTCTTGGCAGGTGCCCTATGGAAATAATGTATCCATGAGCGCGGTGTTTGGTACGACGTCGACTTCACGACGGTGGCGAAGGATAAAGCGAAAAGGGCGTGGTAGTGCAGGGAAGGTTGAGGACGGAAAGGAGGAGGATCATCTCCATGTTTATTGTTTGCTCAGTTGGAGGGCCAGCCCCGAAAGTAAGAAGCAGGGGGGAGGGCCTGGATACGACAGGGTCAAGACAACGGACGTCCTCCAGCCAACAGCCTTCGCTGAGCAGCTGCACAACGTCCCACTGCCGGTTTGGACTAGGGATGCAAACGAGCAGCGAGGCTGCAATCAGCGTTGCTGGCTGTCGCCCGCGAGCACTTTTCTCCTCCCTCGCCTCGGCGTGCCCGCCAGCCGTGTGTTCGAGCGCAGAGCCTCGAGCTTCTTGCGCTCCGTCGGAAAGCGCGGGAGGCGCTGCGCCTGGGGGGGACTGGCCAGGCCCGGTTGTCTTTCAACGCCGCTGCGAACACTGGGCATCGCTCGGACGTCCATTTCCTGTGTTTTTTTCGGTTTCGTGCGTGGTTTTTTCGCCAAATGATCAAGGATGCTCCTCGATGGCCCTCGCCGAAGGAAAAATGCACACGTCCGAGCGATGCCGAGAACATTCACCTGAGGCCAGAAATGAGCAAGGTCATCGAAGATCAACCGGCTGCGAGGACAATTGCGTTTGCGGTACTGGTGTTTCTCGAGGGTGGCTTCGGGATCACTGCCTGGACCAAACAATTGGCCGAGCTTGTGCGCACCACCGCGCGGATCCTCGGAGCCATGCTGGACGCAGATCGACACGAATTCATGGGTTGCCTGGCGGATAAACTAGGCAATGTCACCAACGAGGGGAACAACAAGGAGCGGTGGGCACTAATACACTCCCTTCGAGGGTTCGGGGGTGGGGGCGGCAAGAAGAACAAAGCCCTCAAGACTGCCCTACCCTTCAGGATCGATCCCGAGGGGAACGTTCTAGCCACAAGGCAGGACATTGCAAAAGACGTGGCTGTACACTTTAGCGAACTCGAGTGCGCGGAACGGATGTCGCAGCATGACTACGTCAAGACATACGGGTCGGGGCTAGCCACCACCAAGCATGGCAAAGTTGATCCAGCCAATGTCATCACATTGCGAGAGACAGAAGTGCTCCTGAGCAAGCTTGATACTGACAAGGCGGCCAGCCCAGACAAGATTTTCAATGAAGTGTTGCGACGATCGCCGCAGGATGAGGCGAGACGCATTCACCAGATTTTGGCGAAAACAACGCTGCAGGCTCGCGAACCGGCTGCATTCAAGGAGGGAATTGCGTTGGCCTTATATACATTGCATGGCAAGCCGGCCCTCACCCCAAGCTATTGGCAGATATTACTCATGAGCACTATGGCGAAATGTCACCACTCCTGCCTGCGCTCGCGCCTGTCGACGGTCGTAAAATACAAGTTGCGTACCTCCCAGCGCGGAGGCGTTCAGGGGAAGGGGACCGACACGGCCTCGCACATGGTTCGCGCGGCCACGGAGTTGGCCAGGGCCCAAAACCACAGTTTCCTCGTCGTTTTCACTGACCTTAAGGCGGCCTTTTATCGGGTTGTTCGTGGATTCGTCCCAGGGGAACTCCATAGGCATGACGACTGGGACTCGATCATGGATTCGGTCGACATTCCTCTTGTGTTGCAACCCGTCATGGACAAACTAGTTGGTGAGCCAGGCAGCCTGTCGGGCCAGGCGAAAGGGGGGAGAAAAAAAGGGGGGGAGAATCAGCTCACGTAGCTGATTTTCCCGGCGCCTCCTGGCGCCGGAGCCGGCCATGCTTTTTTTTGTTTGTTAAAAAATGTTTGTATGTTGTTTTCCTTTGTGCAATCTCGGAATCGAAACTGTGCACGCTGGTTTGGGGCAGGCCAGCCGGGCTAATGTCACCACATCTCCCGAATGTATCGAGGAATGGGCCCCTCGGCGGGGCCGAACACAGCTGCATGCAGCAGATTTCCTAACCCCCCCTCTCCCTATCCCCACCTTTCGTTCGGCCCGAGCCCGGAGAAGTACATGCAGGACCCACATGTGCTTACTGTTCTCCAGGACGTTCACCAGGACGCTTGGCTCGCTGTGCGGGGGGATGCTACAAAATCGCCAGGACTTTGACGGGGACTCGGCCGGTCAACATTTATGGGGGACACGGTGTTTGACGCGTCGTTCTCCCCCCAATCCTGGACGAGAACGAAGCAGCCATACGCAAAACGCGCGTGGGCAAGACAATTGGCGAGAGTGCGAGCAACGCCATACGCGTTAGCTGGCGGACAGGAGGCGCCAAACGCGCGACAAGACAGACAGCGACGACGCGCCAAATGAGCGCCGGGAGGACGAGGGGAGGACGAGGGGTGTTTAACGCGTCGTTCTCCCCAATACTGGACGAGAGTCATCATATAATGAAGCTTGCCAGGCTTGCCATCCAGTTGCCAGAAGTACCTGGGCCAGTTCGCGAGTGAGCAGAAGAAGGAACACAGGACGATCACAGATGCTACATACGCGGGTGACTTAACAGCGCTAGCCTTTTAGAAGAATGATGAGTCGCTCCACTCTGCCGCCATCCGCCTTTGTACGGTCCTCCACGAGGCCACCGCTTCCCGCGGGATGCGGCTCAACTACGGGAAAGGCACGACGGGGCTCTTTGTGGGGATCTACGGGGAGGGCTCGCAGGCGGCCAAGCAGGAATGGTTCGTGCACGGGGACGGTTATTCCAGGCTGAGCAGGTATGATGTTGCCGTGGAGATGTGTAGCATGCACAAGCATTTAGGAGGCACTCTCCACGTAGAGGGCCTCCCAAGCTCCAGGCCCAACCAGTATCCCAGAATGAAGGCCTTGGACCATTCAAGCGATCAGTCTTCAAAATGCGAGAAGGAAAAACGAGTTGAAACTGCCACTCGGGGCTAAGGACCTTGAGAAGGTCCGGGCTGATTTTTTGAAGCCGTATCGAGAAGCCACAGGAGAGGCCGCCTGGAGGGCGAGACATGAGGTTGCGCGCAAGAACGTGGACGATGTTCTGTTGGAGGCCCGGCACTTCGACGTCGAGATAGTGCTTCGCATTCTCCGCCTCCGACACTCTGCCCGCGTTCTGTCCAGGGCCCCTCCCGACCTGCGAGTCATGCTCGATGTGATCTGGCACTTCGAGGATGGCTGGTGCCCTATGGTTCGGGACGATATCCAGTGGCTTGAGGCCCCGTGGCGGCCCTGAAGACAGGACCGAAGGGGTCCCAATCGGTCGATGGTTCGTCATGGCCCGTGGAGGAGGAAGATATATGGCGTTTGTGCCGCCAGCGGCACTGCGCCCCCCCCCCCAAAGGTCCCACGTCCCCCGCAGGTTCCAGCATACCTGTGCCAGGTCTGTGGGGCCATATCGGGGTCCAAGGGCAGTTGGCGGCTTCATCGTGTAAGGGATCATCCAGAGCACGACCCTGCAGCCAGGCCTGCTAGTAGGGGACGGACTGGCCATGTTTGTTTGCAGTGCCTCACTACACGCGCACGTTTGCTGAAGCACTTGAGAAGGGGAAGCAGGTGCCTGGCAGGATGGATTCAGCAGACGCCACCAATGGAAGCTGACGAGAGGGAAAAGGGAAGGAGTGCGGAGTAGGCCGAGACGCGGCGCCTCAAGGCCAAAGGTCTATACGGTGCCAAAGCAGAGGTGCCAACGGTTCCGATCTTTGGGCCAGCCTTTCCGTCGCCCACGCCTGGTTCGGTGGCGCAATGCGCTGTGCCCGAGCAGCCGCCAGAGCCTGTCGCGGTGCATGCTTCGCAATTTTTTCGGTGCCGTTCCGATCCCCCTGCCAGTTTCAACAAATATATATATATATATATATATATATATATATAATCAAATACGTGCTGCACCTCTTCAGCGGCCAAAAAGCGGCCTGGAGATGTGCAAGGCCACTTCGGGCATTTCCAGCGTCAGTCTCAGGCAGCGGTGTGGATGTTGTCGGCCGATGTCGTCCACGACGGGGCTCGGGGGAATCTAAGATATTCCGCTGCCGTGGACAGAGGGGGAGGAGGAGGAGGAGGGGGAGGAGGAGGATGAGGGGGAGGAGGAGGAGGAGGAGGAGGAGGAGGAGGAGGAGGAGGAGGAGGAAGAGGCGGGAGGAGGAGGAGGAGGAGGAGGAGGAGGAGGAGGAGGAGGAGGAGGAAGGGGAATCATCGATTTTTTTGACGCTGGCAGGGTGCTGGCTGTGCTCGCGCGGCCCCCCCTGTGAGTCGTGGGGTTGGGCGCGAGCGAAGCCTCTGCAGGGCGGAGGCAGGGGTCCGCGGCAGCGGCGGTCCGTGAGCTCGCGTCGGAGCCTGCCACAGCTCAAAGGGAAAACGGGTGGGCCCAGCTGGGAGAGCGCTGCGCGTCGTTCATTTCTAATCGTGCTCGTTTCTAACGGTGTTCGTTCCCAATTGTTCCTGCCCCCCGAGTGGCCAGGAAGCGGGTCCAGGGTAGAACAATTAGAAATGAAAGGATCTTGGCCCCCCAAAAGAGCAAAGACCGGTCGAAAAAATCGAAATGAACAATGTGCAATGATCTGCATCGTGCCACCACTCTGTTTGTGTGCGACGCCATCGCCGCAGGCGCGCCAGCAACCCAGAGCACCCCGCTTCCCCCCGCCGACCCGCGCCTGCCGTCTTCTTGGTATGCTGACGAGGCGGCGCGCTGGATCCGAACGCGGCACCCAGATGTTTACATAGATTTGGTCTTGGTGGACCAGTATGACTTTGGAGCCGAGCCGATCAAGCCCACATGGTTCCTAGCTTGCGAACACGCCGAGCGTGCGAGCTGCACTGCAAGAGTTCCCGGAGCAGGGCCGCTGCTCGCACCCGCACAGAAGTCGCTAAACATTGCTCGGCCGTGCGGAAGACGGCTCTTTTCGGACAGCTCCGGCAAAGCAGCATCCTGACAAGCCGCGCGCCTTCCTCGCACCCCACCTTCATCAGCTGTGTGGGAGCAGGGGCCTCTGCAGATCCTCTTGGTTGCCCTCACGATGTCGAGGACGATGTGCGTAGGTTCTACACCCGGCTAGATACGCACAAGACTGCTGCACACATGTGGTGAGGGTTCGGTCGAGACCGTGCTGGGCGAAGTCGCCGCCATGGGAGGTTCCTGACGGGGGCTTAGTGAACAAGGGGTCGGGTGGTCCTAACATGCGGCGGCGGTTCCCAGCTCCTCAAGACAACAAACACTGCCGCGCGCGCCTTCTTTGCGCGCCCGCGCCTGCAGTGGAGGCAAGACATAACACCGACCTTTTCAAGGAGTCTGGCCCCTACTGCCGCTGCCTCCGCCCGAATTCGTCCTCGTTCAGTCCATTCGGTGTTCGAAATTCGCTGCGCCACCTGCGAGCATCGTTCTCGTTGGCCGAGCTGCTAGAACCCCCAGGAGAGGACAGGAGGGGGAGGGAGGAGGAGGAGGAGGAGGAGGAGAGGAGGAGGAGGAGGAGGAGGATAGGAGGAGGAGGAGGAGGAGGATGGGGGAGGAGGGAAGGAGGAGGAGGAGGAGGAGGAGGAGAGGAGGAGGGAGGAGGAGGAGGAGAGGAGGAGGAGGAGGAGGGGGAGGGGGAGGGGGAGGAGGAGAGAGGGAGGAGGAGGGAGAGGAGGGAGGAGGAGGAGGAGAGGAGGAGGAGGAGGAGGAGCAGGGGGAGGAGGAGCAGAGGGGGAAGAGGAGGAGGAAGAGGCGGGGGAGGGGGGAGGAGGAGGAGGGAGGAGGAGGGGAGGAGGAGGAGGAGGAGATGGAGGGAGGGGGAGGAGGAGGAGGAGGAGGAGAAGGAGGAGGGGAGGAGGAGGAGGAAGAGAAGGAGGAGGAGGAGGAGGAAGAGGAGGAAGAGAAAGGAGCTAGAAGACGGCGCTGGAAGACAAATGTATCATTGATCCTCCGTGTCGGGCGCCGGCGGACGCCCACCCAGCGCGGACGCGTCGGGTCGCCGTCCGGGATCGCAGCAACCGTGGACCTCATCCTCCGAGTCTCGTTCTCTGATGTCCGATGGATCCGAAACCCCAAAGGAGGACACTGAAAGCCCCTGGCCGCCACGGGCTCCGGCGCCCGCCGGGAGGCGTCTGCTGCGGCGCCGCCGGTGCGGCGGTGCCCTCCTCGGCGCGGAGGGAAGAGGGAGGGGGAGGATGAGGAGGAGGAGGAGGAGGAGGAAGATGATGAGGAGGAGGAGGAAGAGGAGGACGAGGAGGATAATGAC